TTTTTTTTTTTTTTAAACTGTGATTTGTGTGAAAGATTACAAAGCAAATTTGTTTTCTATACAATAGTTCATACACATTTTGTTTTATGACATTGAGTGTAATCCCTATAATGTAATAACAGCTCTCTTCCCAGTTCTTCCCTCGGGTTACTCTTTCTCTGTGTCCTTCTTTCCTATGCAATCCTATCCTCTGAGCTACCTCTCTGTGCAAATACTGTCAGAAGCTTTATTTTAGACATGAGGGAACAGATCTATGAATAAATGCTTTAGTCAAATGTACATATACTTGGTACATGTTGTTAGATTCTGACTCATAGCAACCCCATGTGACAGAGTAGGACTGACTGCCCTTAGGGTTTTCTGGGATATAATCTTTATGGGAGCAGATTGCCAGGTGTTTCTCCTAGGGAGCTGATGCATGGGTTTGAACTCTCAATCTTTTGGTTACCAACCAAGCAACTTAACCATTGTACCACCAGGGATCATTATACTTGGTGCATGTTGTTAGATTCAGCTGCAACTCATAGCACCTTTGTGTACAACAGAACAAAATACTGCCCGGTCCTGTACCATCCTCACAATCATTGCTACGTCTGAGCCCGCTGCTGCAACCACTGTATCACTCCATCTCATTGAGGGTCTTCCCCTCTTTCACCAACCCTCTACTTTACCAAGCATGATATCCTTCTCCAGGGGCTAGTCCCTTCTGACAACATGACCAAAATATGTGGACAACGTCTGGCCATTCTCTCTTCTAAGTCTTCAGAAGACAGATTTGTTCCTTCTTCAGACAGTCCATGATATATTCAGTATTCTCTACCAACACCACAATTCACATGCATCATTTCTTCCGTGGTCTTCCTTATTCATTGCCCAGCTTTCTTGTGCATATCAGGCAATTGAAAATACCATGGCTTGAGTCAGGTGCACCTTAGTCTTCAAAGTGACATCTTTCATCCTTTAACACTTTAAAGAGGTACTTTGCAGCACATTTTGCCACCGCAGTAAGTCATCTGATATCCTGATTACTGTTTCCATGGGTGTTAGTTGTTGATACAAGTAAAATGAAATCCTTGACAATCTTCAGTCATTTCTCCATTTATCAAGATAATGCTTACCTGTCAAATTATGAGGATTTTTGTTTTCTCTGTGTTGAGGTGTAATCCATACTGAAGGCTGTAGTCTTTGATCTTCATCAGTAAGTTCTTCAAGTCATCTTCACTTTCAACAAGTAAGGTTGTTTTGTCTGCATATCATAGTTTGTTAATGAGTCTTCCTCCAATCCTGATGCCATATTCCTTCTAATTTAGTCAACCTTTCAAGATTATTTGTTCAGCATACAGATTGGATAAGTATGATGAGATGGTACAACCCTTGCACACATCTTTCCTGATTTTAAACCATGACATATCCCTTTGTTCTGTTTGAATGACCACCTCTTGGTCTATGTGTAGGTTCCTCAATTGATGTGTAGCTGGTTTCAATCCCTGCTTTCTTTTTCTCGGCCCTGGGCTGCTTCTGCTACATTACATTGTCCCCATCTCTGGGGTTGTTTATTCCACTTACATTTTCTCCTGCCCTATCTACAATTTTTATTCAGATACAAATTAGCTTCTACCTTCTTACTGTGTTCTCTTAACAGTGAACAATTTTGTTAACCCAGCTTGCATACCTTCCTTGCATACCTCAAGTAGTAGTTGTGGGAATAAGATGAGTCATTGTAAAAACAATGAAACTGAGTGTCAGAGTTTTTTCCATTTGATCTGCAGCCTTGACCTTTCCCCTTCACTCTAGAACTGATTCTCCAATCACTGTCTCCACTTGAAGGCTAAGTAGTATCTCAAATTTAGCATGTGTAAAACATGGAAAGTAATTAAAAATTGATGCATTTCATGTAAAAATCTGAATATTTCAGTTTCTCTGCAAAATTCCATCAGTTTGGCAACATGGGTTGACTTCTTCAGTGATAATGAGCCCACTGATGTGGAATCTATTCCAATTCATAGCAACCTGTTAGGACAGAATTGAGCTTCCCCAAAGGGTTTCCAAGGCTGTAAATCTGTATGGGAACAGTCTGCCTCATCTTTCTGCCATGGAGCAGCTGGTGGATTCAAACCACCTATGTTTTGGTTAGCAGCCCAGTGCTTTAACCACATCATCTCCAGAGCTTCTTCCCCATGGTACTCAAACTGAAAAACAAACTCAGCTGCCATCAAGTTGATTCCAACTCATAGCAGCCCTTTAGGACAGAGTAGAACTGCCAGAGTGTTGCCAAAGCTATACATCTTTAAAGAAGCAGACTGCCTCATCTTTCTCCCATGGAGTAGTTGGAGGGTTTGAACCACCGACCTTTTGGTTAGCAGCCAGATACTTTAAACACCAGCACCAGTGCTCCTCTCAGTTTTACTAAAGCCCTTTGACTAGAATATACACTTCTATTTCACTTTAATCTCCTTCACTTCCTATGGGCTTCCCAGCTCTGTGACTAAGTGTTGGTAGGCATTGACCACCTGATAATCTCTTATTTTTCTAATTTAAATTGCCTGCATGATGTCTATAAATATTGGAGAAGAGAGATATAAAACAATAAACAGGTAGTTTATAAAATAACACAAAGCACTGATATTTCTCATAATTTATTTTTCAAGGCCAACATGTCTCAGGTAAGGCAAGTGGGACTACTGCCTGCTGGATGTCAGCCATGGAACAAAGATGTATGTGCTGCCAGTGGAGACAGATTTGCATATTGTGCTACCCTGGCCATCTATATTTATCAGGTAAAATTATTTTTTAATTAACATGTATTGTTAAATTTCTGTTTCATGAAAAGTACAATGCTGTAATTTCATTGCTATTTATATTTTCTATCTTATTGCTGTATTTGCTATATTGGTTTTATAATTTTAGAAAATGTTTTATTATTATGAGCAAAATCTTTTTTAAAAAGTTTTTTATTTTAAGAGTTTTTTTTACATTCAGCATTACGTGTACATTTAGTTTCACTCCCTATATTATGAGCAAAATCTTAATAGATTTTATAATCTTTTATGAGCTTTCCATTAAAAAGAATTCCTCAAGAATTAAAAAGCCCCATTTTAGGAAAGGTGAGCATATAGTTTTTAATTCTCTTTAACAAGGTTCCCATAGAAATAAAAAGAATCCATTTTATTACTTATTTTACATCTTTGCTTAGAAACAACATTTGATGTGAGATATTTTTCTTATCATTTGAAAAATGTGGATATTCCATTGGAGATCATTATATAATTTAAAATTGCTACAGATGTAATATATTTTGAGATATTCTTGTACAAAAACCTTTATATTTTTCTTCTTTTTTTCCATCTAGATATTTTACGATGTAGATATTACTTATCTTTCCCAGTATATAAAGCTAATGTCCTTCTGATTATCTCCGTAGAGATGTACCATATGCATCTTAAATACTAAATCCAGTCTTTCTCTTTAAGACTGGAATCGATAACTCAATAACCATATTACCAGCTAACCATTTATCCAAACCAGAAATGTAAGAATGACCATTGACTTCCTTTTCTATTCATATTCTATAGCATATGTAACTAGGAGTGATTCTGGTGCTTTATATATTTTGTTATCTTCTTTATATCATCTTTCCTTCTGTCTTTATTCAGACCTACACTGATTTTCACCTTAACTATTATAATAGCTTCTTAATAGTTTCTCAGCCTATTGTTTGACTCCTCTTAGTTCATCCTTCAGTATAATCAACCACAAGTAATGGAAATCAAGTTGTTCTACTCTACTACATTAAAACCTCTTTAGTTGCTCCTCGTTCCTTAATATTAACATCCAAATTTCATAGTACGATGGTCTTCCATGATCTTCCTGGGTCTGCCTCCATCTCACCATTCTCCAGACATCAAATGCGTTAGGCACTATGCCACCAGAGCTCCCTACCAAACTAAAAGCATCTTTCAAAACATCTCAGGCTCTCTTATATCTTGCTTTGCTTACACTGAGCGTTTGTCTATATTGCCTCTCTGGAGAACACTGCCTCATTTTTCAGATGTGAGCTCAAGTGTATAAACTTTTTCCATATCTTATCTTTTCCCTTTCTATTCAGTGTAGTCTCTCATAAAATTGTTTGCCTGTCTACATGCTTCTGTTTACCAAAAATGAGTCTTCCTCATCTTTGAATCTCCAATTTTTGCACATTGGTCACTTAGTAGATATTCATTACGTATTTCTTGAATGAATGATTTTTTTAAAAAAGAATCTCAAGATACTAGCTTATTTCAGTTAAGAATAAACATCATTGTTACATTCTAGAATGAAAATTCCTTTACAGTACTACATATTAGTTTATTACTAATGTTGTTGTTGTTATGTGCTGTC